TTTCCTGCAAAGGATCAATAAATAATCTAATCTATCTAATCTAATCTAATGTAATCTAATCTATCATACTAGATTATGGATGTAATTCCAGGTAAAAAAAAAACTAATTTTCAGCGCAGATGCTGTGAATCAGAAGACAACTTCAGCGTCACTGGAAAACCCAACATTTGTGTTCATGTTTGCTAACAAATAGTAGCAACCATCTAGAATTTAAATTTAAGTGTAAATGTACAGAAGTGATTCGTGTTTATTCTGTACGGAAGCCGAGAGCAGATGTTTTGCACTGATAACTTTTTTCCATGGTTTTCTCGTGATAACGACATATTATGTTATCAGGAAACTGTTACAACTGTTTTGTCAYGATATTGGGTTAAATTCCCAATGGTTTTCTAGAAATAACGAGTTTGTAATGAGCTTGGTCCCCTCAGCTTRAGAAAACGCTCATCATTATTTTGTGATAACGACATGTCATTRTCACGAGAAAACCATGGAAAAAATTATCTGCAGAAAATATCTGTTCTCTGTCATTTTAGTTTGTCTGTTTTGTGGTCTTGATTGTGCAGTCTTCAGTGTTGCCCACATATTAAGCTGCATGGGCATGCTGCCCTGACTACACACCATTACTTCACTAATCATTAGAAAAAGTTCATCTTTTCTTGCTGTGCATTACCCTGTTCACCAAACGCAAAGAAAAAATGAATCTAAGCAAAGTTTGCCGTAACATCTATGACTGCAGAGAGGCCTGAGTCAGACAGGAARAGGCTCGGAGCTCTCTCATTCTGATTGGTTGAAACAGAATGACCTCCCGTTGCCCTAGCAACACTCTCCCCTCGCCTCCTCACTTCTACAGTTTTGAGACAGACCCAGGTGGATTCTGTGAAGTGCAGAAAGGGAGTTGTGCACATGCAGGAGAGTCACACATGTGCAGGAGAAGAGCTGAGCACTTGTAGCGGCAGAGTTGAGAAGTTGTAACTTTGAGTTGATGCAATAAAAATATAAACATTAATTTAAAAAATAAACACAAATAAGTGATGAATTGTGAATTCTATTTATGTAAACATTCTTTTACACATTTACAGCTGTGGCACACCCAAAATAAGGGAACCACATAGGTCTGTTTACTGCTGATTTTTATTTATTTATTTATTTTTTGGATAAGTGGTTTTGAATTGCGATCACCCTGAGATGAACTAGTGGCTGTGAGCATGTGACACAGATGAACAGTTACATCTGTTCCTCTGAGGAGGCGGATTGCCACTTTGCCTTCAGATGTGCTTCAGATGAGGAGCTGATCACTGGCAACCTGTGTCTCTCTGTCTTTGTTTGCCTGTTTACAGCTGGATTATATTTATTGCTGTGGCACCTTTCTTAAAACCCATATTACATCATTTTTTTCTGTGATTATACATTTAGGAAATCTTTGTGTAAAATATTTTTGCAGGAGAATTTTTTTATACAAATCTTTCCTACACGTACACAAATCTAAACTTTGCTGGTGGGTTGTGAAATTTATCTCCCTTCATACACTTGCCAGGCCAGCACTGTAAACAATAATTTATTCTTAATGTTTGGCCTGGTTGAGTAAAGGTTAAATTTGTTGCAGGTGTGTTTATGTGGGGAAAGCAGGTCAACTGCAATGGTGTCAATTCTCATTTCACTTCAATTCAGTTTATTTATTTAGCGCTGTCACAACATATGTTGTCTCGGGGCACTGTACATAAAAAAATACAACTAGGATCTAAAGAAGAAACCAACAGATTGTGTTGAATCACTTCATAACAGTCTCCCATCCTGAGCAAATGGTGGAGAGGAAAAACTCCCTGCTAATCAGGAAGAAACCTCCAGCAGAACCAGGCTCAGGACAGGCAGCCATCTGCCTCGACTGACTGGTTGAGGGACAGGAAAGAGACACAGGTAAACACAGAAGAACTGGTCCAGGTGCACCTTCTTCTGGAAAAGAGACAAAGAAAAAACATTATTGATAGAAATAATTACCATAAACACGTTTGCTTCACTTCATCTGCCTGAGGCTGTTAGAAAATACAGCTGTTACAGCAAAAAGTAAAACAGTCAAATAGGAACTTATGGATGGAGATGGCACCATTATTGTGCCTGGAAGAGACAACGCAGAGACACAGACTGACAGGGTTTGGCAGGAAAAAACCCAGGGTGCAGGCAGGCTCCATGAATATAACAAACAGATTTATTAAATAACAAAAATTGCTCTAAAGGCAGCTGAAAACTTACAGGTAAATGATGATCACAAGCAGGGGAAACAGAACACAATGAACCAACCTCAGACTGAGACAAGACAGGACTTAAATACACTGACAACTAATTGATGAACTGAAAACACCTGGTG